GACCTGAGCCGAAGTCAGACACTTAACTGACTGAACCACCCAGAAGCCCCTGTTCACTTTTTTTAAATGTCAAAAATCATTAAAATGATCTAGCAAAAGTGTCAGACCCAAAGCGACCTTCCTCAACGTAAGATACTGTCAGTTAATACCCGGCACAGTAATGACAGTGCATTTACGGCAGGGATCGCAAATATCACTTACGTCACGCACTTAGTCCTGTCTATTGGTGGTGGCTCTCAGACGTGTGGTGTTGAGAAGGATCCTGAGCCAAAACCTGGGCTTAGCAAGAAAGAGTGCCTTTTTTGATTAGCAACGCTGTCTACTCTCCGTGTGGCACAGGCAGTGGTAGGCTGATCAACCGTCACATAGCGGGAAACGAAAAGCTCTCATTTGAATCGCTTGTCAGTTTCTCTGGTGTAAATACTCCCTGCCCCAGTCAATTTCAAGCTTCCAAAATTTAACAACGAGCCCCCCCCAAGCTCTTGAATATTTAACAGCCAGCCCTCATGAGCTGGTGCAAGACGGTCCCAGAACACGCTTGGGAAGCGTGCAACTTACAGGCTATATACTTAACCCGCATAAATACAACCACCAATCTCTTCTATTTTAGGGGAAGAGCTACCCCACCCTCATTCTACTCGTGTGGTCATTGAATGAGGAACATCTTATGAACAGTGTTGCCTCATTAACTAATCCGCGTCCCACACACCGATTGCTAGGTTACCACGTCCATATACACAATCCTGTGATGCCAGGCAAATGTGAAAGGAACTATGACATGACCAGACCAACACCCTCTGACCAAGTAGCCTACATTCTCCATCCCAGTAAGTCTCCATGTTGCTCCTGTGTGACCCAAATCCAGACCACACTCTTCATCACCCTATGTCTTCTTCTAAAACAGTAATAACTCCACTCATGAAGGAGAAGCCCATCGCTAAAGGGGCACCATGAAAGCTCGACTAAAGGCTGCTCTGAAAAGCTAATGTGCTCACAGTTCTGTAACTAAGACAGGAAGGTAGCAAAGAGAAAGAACTTCTGGTCAACCTTAAAGCTCTCCTAACCCCATCCCATTTTTATTCCCAGAGAATGTTAGGGTTTTATAGCAAGTGTACTTCTTCGGGCTTACACAAGAATCGAGGTCTTAGCAAGAGAGAAATTACGGGGGCATCTGGGTGGCTGGGTCGGTTAAGCGTCCAACTTCAGCTCAGGTCACGATCTCACAGTTCGTGAGTTTGAGCCCCACATCGGGCTCTGTGCTGACAGCTCAGAGCCTGGAGCCTGCTTCAGATTCTGTGTCTCCCTCTCTTTCTGCCCCTCCCCCATTTGTGCTTTGTATCTCTGTCTCTCCGTCTCTGTGTCTGTCTCTCTCTCTCTCTCTCAAAAATAAACATTAAAAAAAAAAGGAAGAAAAATTATGGCACTCAAATTTTAAAACAAAAGAGAAAGACCACAAACATCTCCCAAAACTTCTATCCTAACCTGTATGCTCCAATGTGAATTCAGAACCACGGAGCTTCAAGAAAAAGAAAAGAAAAACTCAATCATCTAGTAACAACGTCTGCCAGCAGCCATGGTAAATAGCATGTTACCTACTTCATGAGGAGGGGTGTTTCAACAGAATGAAGAAGTTACCTTAAGCTCTACAGCTCACCTCTGTGTTCAGTTTCCATTCGGTTTCCTATTACTGACACACCTGGGAACCTGCCGCAGAAAGACCCGGAAAGCCCCTCTGTTCTGCCCTGTCTCACTGCTCAGGGATCTTCCAGAACCTTCATTGCATGCTGGAAATGTCATCGGTCCTCAAAGCTGAGGCTGAGAACCTGCCTAAAAGCAGGTATTATAAGGAAGCGGGAAGGCAATTGTTGAGCTACATTTATTCCTCACACTTTCCCTTGGGTTAGCCTGGGATAACAGAGTGGGTTCATTTAAAGGCCTTCCCACCGGGTCTCAGATTACACGGGGAAAGTAAAAATAGGAAGGGATGGTGAAATGGTGGACTGTTGACTTCACAGCCTCTGCAGTCCAACACATTAATCCCCTCTCCCCTCCCCACTCCACCCCCAAAGTCCACCCCTGACTCTCCCATTTCTTCTCATGACCCCACCATATCCCCATGAGAACCATCTCCGACCCTTGAGAAAAGTGGTAAGCGTCGTGGTAACAAGTGTGGGCCACCCAGCTCCGCAGACAAGTTCCCTGATCCCCTGCAGCTCGTGTTTGTTTCCCAACCTGTCACATGACATAATGATAGCACCTGCCTCCTCCGGTTGTTTGGAGGATTGAATTCATTAGTGTACGTGGAGCCATCAGGCGTGACTCATCGCGGGAACTAGGCAAGTTTTAGCTTTTATTTTTATTCATTCTCAAACCTCATTTGCATTTAAGGTGACCTCTTACTACCAGGTAGCCTCATGGCCACCGCACTGACTGAAGACCTTTGTGTGAGCCTCACACGGTCCAGGGGAAATGTCCAGGCAAAGTTGACATCCTTCCCGCGAGCTTCCCTTCCCTTTCCAGTTCATGCAGCCTTCCAACATGTTGTAAAACTCCCCTGTGTTCAATCTCCTCTGTTTGAAATACCGAGTGTGATTACCATTTTCCCAACTAGATCCCCACCAGTAGAGCCTTCGTATTAACTTAGCAAAGCTGCCGATTTGTGTCCTGGCCTCCAGCCTCAGTCTATTTCATCAAACACTGCTGTCTGATTAATCATTCTGAAGCAAAATTAGGTTTGCATTACTCCTCCACTCAAAAGTTTTTGCAGAAGCCCCATCACTTAACAGAAGTCAAAATAAACCGGCATCCCAGACCCTCTACGATTATGACCAACATACCTGCTAGGTGTATTTCTAATTACATGCTTACATGGGTCCTAATAGCAGGAAGCTTTGTGCCTGCAAAGGAGGCTACATCCCTCCCTCTGCCACGTTAACCAGTTAAAATTCCTCCCATCCAGATAAAAAGATGTGGTATGCATATGCAATGGAATATTACTCAGCCATCAAAAAGAATGAAATCTTGGGGCACCTGGGTGGCTCAGTCAGCTGAGCATCCGACTTCGGCTCAGGTCATGATCTCACAGTTGATGAGTTCGAGCCCCACGTCGGGGTCTGTGCTGACGGCTCGGAGCCTGGAGCCTGCTTTGGATTCTGTGTCTCCCTCTCTCTCTGCCCCTCCCCTGCTCGTGCTCTGTCTCCCTCTGTCTCAGAAATAAACATTAAAAAAACTTTTTTCAATATTCAAAAAAAAAAAGAATGAAATCTTGCCATCTGCACCAACATAGACGGATCTAGAGAGTGTTAGGCTAAGAGAAGTCAGTCAGAGGAAGATAGATACCATATGACCTCACTCATCTGTGGAATTTAAGAGACAAAACAAATGAACAAAGGGAAGAAGAGAGACAAACCAAACCACAGACCCTAGCTATAGAGAATGAACAGAGGGTTATGAGAGAAGGGATGGGGGAAACAGGTGAAGGGGACTAAGAATTCACTTGACTTGATGAGCACTCAGTAATTGTTAAATGACTGTACACCCGAAATATAACTCTACCGTTAACTATACTGGAATTAAAATAAACTAAAATTTTGTCCATTCAAATGTCACATCCACTGTGAAATTTTCCCCTACGTTCCATTTTCGGATTCCCCTTGTGGTGGTTTTAAATCACTGTGTGCCCACAAGTTCCTCTCTCCTCCTCCCTGTAAGAAGGGAGGTTCTGCTGTCCTGTCCCTGGGTGTGAAATGTACCTGGTACCTTGCTTCCAATGGACAGAATATGCTGGAAGCTCAACTCCTGAGCACAACTGTGGCCTCTTCACTTCTCCTTCTCTCGAGTCACTCACTTTGGGGGAAGCAACAGTTCTGGGCCACAAGGATCTGGAAAGTGGGAAACTGAGGTCTTCTATCAGCAGCCACACAAGTGAGTCATCTTGGAAGTGGTTCAATCAGGCCTTCCAATGACTGTGGCCCTTGCCAACACCTTGATTTCAAGATATCCTAAGCCAGAACCACCTAGTTAAGCCAGTCCTGATTTCCTGATCAACACAATGTATGAGATGATGTTTATTATTTTTTTAACTTGCTTTATTTTTTATTTTCCTAAATTTACATCCAAATTAGTTAGCATCGAGGGCAACAATGATTTCAGGAGGAGATTCCTTAGTGCCCCTTCCCCA